AACAAACAAAAAGAAAACAATACAAAACAAAAATGCTAGTAGGTGAAATGGCTATGAGACTCAAGGACAGCATCCCTGCCATTAGAAACATTTCTTACATTATGAAAAACATAGGAGCTACAATCAAAAATAAAATTCTTGAATTCTATAGATAGTACCAATAATTAAACTATACCTATTGAAGATTTAGATATTTACTAACCAATAGAATAAATGAAAAATTCAATCAGTTTAAGAGAAAATGCATATAGATTTCCTTAAATCAGTACACTGACCCTCGTCTATTTGTTTAGAGTTTCTTTACTTCCCTATAAGGAGTCTATACACTTGCTGTCCCTCTCTGTGCTAAGCTGTATCTGAATTACATTTTGATAAATCTGAATCTTCTCTGGACCATAGAACCCTCTTTATCAAATGTTCTTGCTGTTCTTCACAATGAATTTCTTTTGAGTAAATTGTTTTAAGTGCTATAAAGAGCAGGTATGCTACAATGATACTACTTGAGTTTATAATCTCAGGTCCACTATTTGTTAGCCATGTGCCTTTTGACAAGCCTTAACTTCTTTGTCAGTTTCCTCCTGTATAAAATGGGGATATTAACATTGTGAGAATTAAATACAAATGATGCACATATTATAAAACCATTTACAATCATTTTCAGTGTTAGTATTATTGTTAACCCTAGTCAATTTTCTATTAAGAAAAACAAGGTATTTGAGTAAAAATGTGTATTTAACCTCTGTGTGGTGGCACACACCTATAATCCAAGAATTATGGAAGGCTAAAGGGTGAAGATTGTAAATTAGCCCAGTCTAGGCAACTTAGTGAGACTCTGTCTCAAAATAAAATATTTTTTATAAACATTTGGGAATGTGGCTTAGTGAAAACGTCCTTGGTTCATTCCCTATCTCACACACACACAGTATGCTTAGAAATAGTAACTTTATGGATATCCAGTACAGAGGAAGATAAGAATATTTACCTAATTTCATTGTATTCCCTTTCTGTTCATAAATACATATAGTATATGAAGCCAAGTGTTCATTACCAAACTCTTGCTAAGATATTACGAACCGCAACTAAAAAACTAAATCTTACACATTTTGAGTGATTTAAACTATTCAAACTAGAACATCTGAAATGGAATTGTGTATGGAATAAAATCCATTATTTAGTGTTGTAATGATAAATCGTTTGTACTTTCTAAAAACTTGAGAGATCCACACAAACGGAAACCCATTGAATTTTATAAATACAATTTTTCTTCAGAGTTTGTCCAGGGCACCTTGCATCAGATCATAAATTGTACAGAGAAATTCAAGTGTTGATCTACCATATTTCTAGGAGCCTCCTGAAAATGTCAGACATTTGAGAAAAGTACATCAACAAGTATATAATTCTTCAAAAAATAATTACCTTTGGTTCACTGTAACACAACATTCTCATGGTATGCAATTCATTGCATTTGCTATTTGCTGATAATTTCTAGATGAGTCTCTATGAAGTGAGATTTCTGCCCTTCCATTGTATCAATTATTTCCTATTGTCTTGAAAATCCCTTTCATTCTGTTTTCTCAATGTATTTCTCTTTCACTGCTAAATAGATGAAATGGCACCTACATCTATATGCTACACAAAATATTAATAATGGTAAAAGCATATGGCCTATGTCTCTAAAAACAGCACAAAAATTATCAGGAAAATAGTATAACCTGCACTTGGGAACACATGCTTTCTGGAATCCAGTATATTGGCTTTTGAAGTTTAGCTTTGTTATTTATTAGCTAGGTGATCTTCGATAAATGATTTAGTAGCTGTCTCTGAATCTTATTTTCTTCATTTGCAGATTGGGAATAATTAGAGTACCTATCTCCTAGGACTTTTTAGCATCAAAGTTGATTTACATTTGGGTTCAAGTTCCTTATCTCCTTTCAAATCAGTACCAAAATTTCATGAACTGAGAGGCAGTGGGTAGACCACAGTTTGGGGATACTACTGTCTAGATTAACTTTCTAAACCTGGGATTTGGGGCCTTTAGGTGTTTATCTTTGTACTCAATTCATTTTTTCTCTTTTTCTTTAACTTAATGGTCACCACCTTTAGGACATTTAAAACATTAAACTCTATCAAAGAGAAAACACTATTCCTTTGATCAGATAATTTGTCCAGAATAAATCAATTTTATTTCCACCCGCGATTTTTTCTCATCACTATCAATTACTTCTTGCTATTACACTTTTAAATTCCTCAAGGCTCAAAATTAGGACTTACAGTCCTAATTTTGTAAGTCCTATAAGACTTTAAATTTAAAGACAAAAATCTGAAAGTTCTTCTCAATCCATTTCTATAGTATGACTTCATCATTTTCTTGTGGAGCTTTTCTAAAAACTGTAAGGAGCCAAAATGTGCCATCTTCTGAAATTTCCTGTCACTTTTCTTTCTTTTATGAGGCATTTTTATACAACTTTATGGTATATGATGATTTGATACATTTATATAATGTATAATGGTCTAATCAGAGTAATAAGCTCTTGTATTTCTTCAAACATTAAAATGTTTTATGTTACAAATTTCACTTTTATTTTGACATATATACTGTACATTGTTGCAACCAGTAGTTACTGTACTGTGATATAGAACACTAGAACTAATTTCTCCTGTCTCTGTTTAGTGCCTCTTTCTTAATTTCTTTCTATTCTTTTTCTCTCCTGCTCTTCCTTTTGACTAGGAACCATTACTTTACTCTGTTTTCTATGAAATCAGTTGTTTAGTTTCTACACAAGAGTGAAAACATGTGATATTTGTCTTGCTGTGTCTGGTTTATTTCATTTACATAATGACCTTCAGTGCCACCCATGTTCCAGCAAATGGCAGGATTTCACTCTTTCTATGGCTACTTCTATAAAATCAATATATCAACATATAACTAAGGAAACAATAAATATGAAAAATGAAGAAAGATGACCACAGTGAAAGTGTTTAGTGTCCAAAGGAAACTGCCTATCTCCTAATGACTGTTTCACTAAATATCAGCCAAGATAAGCATCATTTATATTCTATAGATTAGGAAATGAAAATCCATGTTAATGATAGGTCAGTTAATTAAGGGTAAGCTGAAATTTGAATGTTTTAAATTTTTTTTAACTTTTTATCGGTACCAGGGATCAAACTCATGACCGCCTACTTGCAAGACAGGTACTTATGCCACTGAGCTAAATCCCCAGCCCCTGAAATTTGAATTCAAGTCTGCCTCTGAAGCTCACTTTTATCTTTGTGAAACTCCCCATTAATCATATTACGGTGCAGTTCATGCACTGAGTGGGAAATTGAACTACATTTCCTTCCCAATTCTGAGATATTATGAGGACATTTTGACATAAAGAAGAATTTAGATATGTTTCAGTGTGATTTTACCAAATTATAAATATCTAGTGGTAAGATTCATTTTATCTGGGCTGGGGATTTAGCTCAGTGGAATAAACGCCTGCTTTGCAAGCGTGCAGTTGTGAGTTCAATCCCCGGTACTGAAATAAACAAAAAAGAATCATTTTATCCAAATACCTTTGATTAATACACAGTACACCAACATATATAAATGAAATTAATAATGATATGTGATAGTGATAATGTCAAAATTAAACCGACAAAAAAGCAAAGACATAATAATTATTGTATTTGAGTTTTATCATTATTCATATAAGCAATACAATTTTTATTTATGTATATTGTGTTCAGAAGGCAAATCTTTATAATAAAATTTGTATTTGTATTTTGAATAAAATAGATTTCATAGAATAAATATGCTTTCTTTCACTTTATGAGAAAATCACATACATGTTTAAGAGAATGAGATTAATGAATTATCGCATGATAATAAATTCATTCCAGCTAACTATTTTTACAAACCAATGCACAGAAATAATTAAGCTATTGTTGTCAGTATAAATCAAATGATCTCATTAATGTCTGATTAAATCATAACACAAATCTCCTTCCAAAAAAATAGGACATATAGATTATAGTGCTCCCAAATTATATCATAAGCAATAAATTATTTTCACACATACAGCAAGGTAAATGATAGGGAATAGGAGTGCATTGTTCTTTATGAAGTAGAGAAAGTTTATTTAATTTTAGAAATAACAGAAAACATTTTAAAGCATTTCCTGCTAAATGAAGCAAAATCAAGATTATATAGAATTAAGTGAGTCATTTCATAGAGTTGATGCTTTTATTTGTTTCAGTGTAGTTTATTTTTTCTGTAACCTTCCTTTTAATGCACTGACTGATCCATGCCTGCTTTGGCAAAGGTATTGAGAAATGTATGATAAATAGTGTACTACAAGATATAAGGTTCCCTTTGGGAGTTACTTCTTCATAGATGAAGGGCTTTTTTCCATTGAGGGTTTTATGCCATAATTAGAAAAATGATGGCCTAAACCCTAGTGAAAATATCGTACTGTAATTGGTATTCATTTGTGTCAAACAAGTCCATGGAGAAAACTAGGAGTTTCTTTTTATTGAAGTTAAACTGCTAACTGTGGAATCAACTAAATTACATTTTCACTTAAATAACTGAAATGACTGGGCCATTTAGTTACATTTTAAAAAAAGTAATCTGGTATAACTGAACAATCATTTAGGATAAAATATTCAAAACCTTTTAGATGAAATTGTAGGCTCAGGAAAAGTTGGTAAGTTTGTGTAATAATTTAAGTTTACTTAACATCACTTTTTTCTAAAAATGCATACATGTTGGAAAATATCTCAAGCTGCAATAATACATTTTGTATTTTAAGAGGTGTTTTTATTAACAAAATGTTTAAATCAATGTCAGATGCGCCTAATTCAAAGCCTAATAATGGCAATAAAATCGTGCTTGACCTCTCACTTAAAAAATAAAAATAATAGTATTTGTTGTTAGTCATCTCCCAATGGTTCATGACAGGATAAATACCTTATTTCAAATTAATTTAAATGATTTATTGAGTAACACTTACTTTGTGAGCTGGAATTTTTTACGGCAGGCAAGTTAGTGTCCAGTCTTTTTTCTTTATAAATCATCAAAATGACCTGGAAAATTAAAAATTTCATCATTGAAACATAATCTTCTACACTACCTATTATATATGAAAGTAACAAGAACTCTTTCATCATATGTTTCCAAATTTTAAAAAACTGAAATATATTATTACATCAGAATATAACTTTAAACAATCTTTTTCACTGTCAATATTAGATAAACTTGCAAATGTGTAGACTTATACTAACAAGTGCTAATAAAATGAAGATTATTTATCCTGGATTGACTGATATTCTAAATGATTAGGTAACTGATAAATACTGTTTATTTCATACAGACAGAGAAAGGTTAATACAATATAAATAGAGAATTGGCACTTTGAGATAAAAATTCAGGGAATCGTTTGATGGAATTTATTCTGGGTATTCTGGGTATTCTAGATAGAAGATCATGTCTTCTCAAATAATAACTTGATTTCTTTTTTTGGCATAAAAAGTAAATACTATATCTAGGAATTAAGGTAACTAAGAAAGTCAAAGGTATCTACATAAAAAATTACACTACTCTGAAAGAGGAGATTGAAGAGGAAATCAGAAAATGGAAAGATATCATCATATTGTCAAAATAGCCATACTTAAAAAACTGTTACAACGATTTGGCATAACTCCAATCAAAACACCAACAGTATTCTTCATATATCTAGAGAAAATAATCCTAAAATTAATACAGAATCAGAAGAGACCCAGAATAGCAAAAGCAATCTCAGGCAACTAGAGCAAACAGAAGACATTATAATCGTAGATTTCAAGTTACATTGTAAGTCCACAGTTATAAAAACATATTGGTATTGGCACAAAAAAAAGACACCTGGATCAGCTGAACAGAATAAAGGGTGCATAATCAACTCAATACACATTGAACTGTCTCTGATAAAGGGCTCACAAACATACACTAGAAGAAACATAGCCTCTTTATGAAATGATCAGGGAAAATGGTTATCTGCATACAAAAGAGACTGACATTCACTCTGTACTAATACCAAATCAAAATGAATAAAAAATCTAAATGTTAAAACAGAAAAAAACTGCTAGGAGATAAAATAATAAAATTATTAAAGACATGGACATTAGCAAGGACTTTCTGAACAGAGCCCCAGTTGCACAAGAAATAATACCAAAAATCAAAAAATGGGATCATACAAATTAAAAAAACCCTGCATAGCAAAGGACACAACAGAGTTAACAGACAACCTATAGAATGGGAAAAATTTTTGGCAGCTCTTCCTCAGACCAAGGACTAATGTTTGGAATACATAAAGAACTTAAACAAATTAGACTCCCTCAGAATAAAAGACCTAATCAAAAATGAATAACTGAAATGAACAGAGTTCTCAGAAGAAGAAATACAAATGCTAAATAAATATATGAAAAAATATTGAACATCTCTAGCCATTAGAGAAATGGAAATTAAAACAAAACTGAAACCCCATCTTACTGTAGAAGAATGGCTGTGATCCAGAAATCAAATAGTAAAAAAATGGTGATGAGGCTCTGGAAAAAAAAGGATAAAGAGATTGTTGGTGGGAATGTAAAGTAGTCCAACCACTATGGAAAACAGTATGGAGAGTCCTCAAAAAACTAAAAATAGGAATTCCATTCAAATAAGCTATTTTCTTTCTAGGTATACACCAAAAAAAGCTATTGTAATTCCAAATACAGAGTTCAGTCATCCAAGTATTGTAACCCTCTTTCTAGTTTTCCTCACAATCCAAAAAGTTATATTTGCAATCCTATTGAGATGTTATTGGAATCCCAACAAATTAATTCCAATCTACCACCACCAATGCAATCCAGGGTGACAGTAAAAACACCAAGACATATTCCAAGTTAAGGACAGCCAAGGGGTCCTGAATCCAATCCTCATGAAGACATGCAAGCAAAGGCCTTGATCCTAGGCCTCTCCCAGAATTTATTATCTTGTGAAGAAGGGGGGTGGCTCAGGGATGAGTGACAGTGAGGATGGCAGGAATTACATGAGTAACTTTAGCTGGCTAGCCAGACACAAGAATGGTTTCTCTGTAAATTGCAGAGATAAAGATATACAGAAGATCAATTTACATAGTTGACATTCCCGGAGCTATTGACTCTAACATCTCGCATATGCTCATATCCTGTACATATTCTGCACAGAGAACACTATCGTGGAAACAGGACTGTCTGTTGGCTTTAGAAATTACATAGCAGAACATGGACTAGCCTTTTTTGCAATGCTTAGAGCCAATTAAAAAAGAGAAGGAAATACCCTCGTCAGCTTTGTACATCTCACTTAAGGAAATGAATCTCCAAATAATCAAAGTCACAATAATTGTTTTGCATTCAAAGGGAGTCACTGGAGTTGTCTTCCACAAAGAGCCAAAGTCATCATATTACAGTGATACATTCATACCCATGTTTATAACAGCACAATTCACAACAGCTAAATATTAGAATTGGTCTATGACCATCAACATATTAAAGGATAAAAGAATTTGTAGTATTTATATACAGTGGAATACTACCATAACATAAAGGATAGACTTGGGTTGTTTGTAGGGAAATGGATACACCTTGTCAGTATAATGTTGTGAAATAAATCAGACACAGTTTAAATATCACATGGTTTCTCTTATATGAGAAACCCAAATTATAAATACAGAGCATAGATAGTGGAAAATATATACTAATAAAAATTGGATAAATGCAAAGCAAAACACTCAGCAGGAGAAGTTGTAGTATTTTGCATTCATACAGTTTTGCATGAAATTTCCTTCAACCCTTAGCCACTCAATCCTCCCTAAGTAACACCAAGTTTCAGTTTTCCCTGTGACTTCCCATTCACGTTTTAGTTTTAATATAATTCATTTCAAAAAAGATTTGAGTATCTACTATTTGCAAAACACTGTTCTAAGTGCTGTACCACATAAAAAATGAATGTGATGTTCTTAATGAGCTTAAATATAATAGGGAAAAGAGTGTAATACCATGAGATAAAGTTAGGATAAATACATATAAATACCTGAACCCAAAAGGAGAGAGCATTTCCACCACACCTAAATCCAAGTACAATTGGAAAGTTACCCACCCCATTCGGGAGTACTGCAAAAACTGAAAGCCCATATTTTTAATTTCAGAAGTTGAAGGCAACTCAGACTATCTAAGGTGATGATTAAAATTTTTTCTGTAAAGATTTAGAGACTAAATATTTTTGGCATTGTGATTTATATGGTCTCTGTCACAAATACTCAATTCTGCTGTTGTAATGTGAAAGTAACCATATACCATATATATGTACAATAAGAGTGACAAGATTAGCCCACATGACGGAATTTGCTATCTCTGGGCTAGGAGATGCAGGTTAATAACTCATTTAATTCACTGTCATTATTTATTTGAAATTCTATATTTAGTGAAGTTACATGATAACTTGTAGATTTTTGTTTTTGTCCTAATTTTTGTCTGATGGGCAGATAACCCTAAAGTTCTATGGGTCTACTGGACAATTATTCAGCTTGTATCTCATCTAGCATTTTTGTCATTCTGTTAATACTCCGTGTTTTCAAATGGAATTGATTCAATCACAACTTTTTCCCTTGTGGCACTGGACAGGGCTTATTGAGGACTTCACACATGCTGAGCAAGCACTCTACCATTGAGCTATATTCTTAGCCTTCTTTATTATTTTGAGACGGTGTCTAATTAAACTGTCCAGGTTGGGCTCAAACTTGCCATCCTCACAACTCAGCTGTTGGACTAGCTGGGATTAAAGGCATGCTCCCACTGTACGCAGCTACATATTTGCTTTTTTTTTCTTTTTAAAAATTTTTATATTAAACAGGATAAAACAGAATAAAACCAATCAAAACAAACCAGTGTAAGAGATACAGGACTTCAAAACATTACAAAATCAACAACAGTTACCATAATGCCTTTTAATGTCTTCAAAATAGCTGCAGAATCCTTCGGACATAGTAAAAATCAAACAGAACAGAATAGAATAGAAACAATAAAACAAGACAATGAATGCAATAAAGGACTTCAAAACAAGCCAATAGTAAATCCAAAACTGTTACCATAATATATCTTGCCATCTTTGAAATAGCTGCTCCTGCCATCAGATTTCACATAACCAAACCAGGGGGCTGGGGATTTAGCTCAGTGGCATAAGTACCTGCCTTGCAAGCAGGCAGTCGTGAGTTCGATCCCTGGTACCAATAAAAATGAAAAAAATACATAACCAAACCAAAGAGAATAAACCCAATCCAACACAACAATGGAAACAATATGGGACCTCAAAATAAGACCATGGGAATCAACAGACCTCAGAAGGAGATCCCCCTAGATGCCACACTGTGTATCACTATCCTCTGAACCTATGATCAGATCACTGGCCATAGACCTGCAAGTTAAAGTGCAACACCAAAGCACCGGGGCATCCAATTGCATTTCACCTCCACAGTTATCATCACAGTCTGTGTTTCTGTGGATAAAATAAACCAATCTCTTAAGGGGGAGGGGTGAGGGTAGATTGGTACTTCTTATATTGCCAGTATGCATGCAGAAGGAGCTGAGGTCTGGCTTTTCCCAGTTCAGCAGTGTGCTGCACAGGGCTCTGGTACCCAGACTGGATTTGTTTGCCGGTATGCTTTTGTTCTTTCTACCTCCAGTCTACAAATGGCGCTAACTCATGGGGAGAAAAAAAAATGTAGATGTCTTCTACTAAATTTCCTCATTATTCTGACAAACTCATGTATTTACTGTAATTATATTCTAACTTGAAAATTATTCTGAATATCCTTAGGAAACTAAATACTTTGATTCATATTAAATCAAACTATTGTTAGCCACCTTTTCATTAGTAAAAAAAAAAAAAAAACAAAAAAAAACAAAAAAAAACTGAGGGCTGGGGATATAGCTCAGTAGCATGGCCTCTAACTGGTAAGCCTGACATCCTGAGTTCAATTCCAGCTATCCCCTACCAAAAAAAGAAAAAACCTGAGCTAAGCCAATTTAAA